ATAATTTAAAATGCTATCTCTGATATGAAAAGCTTCGTTGCACAAAAATGGGAATATACTTAATACTATCGAGCTTCCCACTTACCCACAATTATGATGGTAAATTTCCTGTTCCAACTATACATTTAAAATGTCGTTGGCTGGGTGTGGTGGTGCACACCTTTAATTCCAGCACTCAGAAGGCAGAGGCAGATGAGCCTCTGTGAGTTTGAGGCCAGCCTAAATAATGAGTTCCAGGATTCCCAGGGCTATGTAGAGAGACTCTGTTTAAAAAATAAATAAATAAATAAATAAATAAATAAATAAATAAATAGAAAGAAAGAAAGAAGAAAAAGAAAATGTCCTCTACACTTTCTGCAATGTCTGTTTTCTCTGTTTGCTTTGGTCTTCTGAACACCAGGCTTTCTTGGGTCTCCCATGCCTCCTTACCTCTCTTCTCACACGGTGAAGAGCCAGGCAGACGGAAGGGTCTGGAACCTGCACTAGCAATACTCCCAGTGCCCATTGATTTCTGGTCTACCATTCCCTGGGGCATGCTCCAGTACCGGAAAGTCTTTTCTCCAGACTTGTCATCTCCTGTCCAGGGACATAAGCCTTGCTGCTTGCTTGGGTTCCTGGAGCAGAGAGAGGAAAGGAACTCAGGCCTCCCCTAAGCATCCACACAGTCCGTCTCCACCGCCACTCTTTCCGCCCAGGCAGGGCTCTCTCCTCTAGTGTAGTCTTCAGAGGGAGGAAACGGCCTCTTCCAGGTAGGATAGCTAGCAGGAAAGGCTGGGCCTGCTGGCTGGGAATGACGGGGAGGGTACCATACTAAGGAAGTCCAACGGCTGTATACAGAATTGTCAGTCGGCCTCCTGTTTGCAGGCCGCGCTTTATCGGCACCTAACACTTGCCATCTAGAGGCGCAGTTCTGGGTACTGGCTTTGAGTGAGCTCTTCTTGACTTTGTAGCTGTAACTTCCTTCGCTCTGCCACCCCCACCCCATGTAGTTTCCATCCTCAAAATCTTAACGTTGTTGCTATTCTTTGTAAAATATGTGGTAATTACCTGTATTACTTATGTGTGTAGGTTGGGGGGGGGTGTTGGGCGCCAGCATGACATGCTTATCTGTGGAAGTCAGAGGTCAGCTTGTGGGAGTTCGTTTTTCTCCTTCCACCTTGTAGGTCACAGCGTTAGAACTCAGGTCATTAGATTTGGCAGCAAGAGCCTTTGCCCACTGAAGCATCTAGCCAGCTCTGGTTTTATTTTGTTTTGTTTCAATTATATTTATCTATTTAGTCCCTTATTAAACCCTTTCTCTGTCCTTGGGAGTCATGGTGATTAATCGTTGTTGTAGCCGTGACCAGATTTAGGATCTCCATGGAAACGCGCCTCTATGTGTCTATGAGAGAAGTGAAGGCTCTCGGTGAATGTGGGTGGTCCCCTTCCCTGGGTCCAAGACTAAATAAGAAGGAGGAAGTGAGCCCATGTGACAGCTGCTTCGTGTCTTTGCCAACCCACCTTCAAGGACTGTCTCATCTCGAACTGTGAGCCAAAATGAACCCTTGCTCCTTGAGGTCATTCTTGTGGACCGGGAACACTGCTCAAGCGAAGTGAAGTGGCTGTCACAAGGGTCTGACCCACTCTTCTTCCTCTGTTGACTTTTGAGAGACTAAAATGTGAGGCCTGACCTGAAACATGGTCAGGTCAGCACAAATGACTCAAGGGTAGCACTTTTTACTTCCTGCGATGCAACATACTAAAGGGGCAGCAGCAGACTACACCAGACTGATATGAAGGACATCATGAGAAGGCACAACCCGAGGTAATGACCGTATGGCTACTTGCCGTGTCCTACCCCCCTCCCACAAGAGAAGCCAGCGCTACCCTAGGCACCCACTTTGATCCAAGCCAGGAATCATGTTGGGCTCTGCTGCCTTTGAGAGAAAAGAGGGAAACAGGAGCACTTCGGGAACAGCAGACTAGCTCTTCAGACTTGATGACCTCAGTCTTCTGGTGACCGCACCTGGGCTCAGGCAAGCTGTTGACAGAGAGAGGAGGCAGAAGGCAAAAGGCAGGTCTGAGGCTCTCCTGCTCTGGGGACCAGGAACCTAATCGGTGGTGTCACTCTGGCTCCTGGATCTGCAGCCTAAGGCAAATCCCTGGACAGACAGGAGTCGGGTGGGGGCGCTGTTTCAGGAGGGCCTGCAGGAAGATGACCTTGACTGCAGAAGGAAGGTGGGCGCGTGGAAATGTGTCTTCCTCTTGACTGTATCTTTTCAGGAACCTCATGTGGGCTCATTTCACCTTCCTCTCTGAGCCTGTTTTCTTCTCTTCCAAAGGAGTTTATACTTCCCATCTCGTATGTCATTGTGAAGATGAAATGAGGTAACCTTTGCTTGATAAACTGTAGGTTCTCAACGTTGCTTGTGAACATACTAAGAGAGTTAGTAGAAGCCAAAATCTCCCTGTTCCTCTCCTAACCCTGGCCACTGTATTTCTTTCTTCAGGGGTGGGAGGCTACTCAAGAGGGGTGGAGCCTGGGGCAGACTCATTCCCACAGTGAAGGATGCCCGTGCCCTCTAGATGGGAACTTTAGGTTTGAGAGCCCATACGCATCTCTGCCTTCGAGTCTATGAGCTCTGGAGAGGGGTCTGGGAACTTTGGGGCCGTGTAATAGTATATTTGTTCACAGTTTCCTTTCTTCCTTGCCCTCCCTTCCATCTGGAGAGTAGGTTGAAAGTTAAGATTGGAGTTGCACGAAGGCAAAGATCTCTTGTGTCCCATAGAGACCCCAGCCTTTCTGGAGACATGGGGCCCAGAACTGGGAAACCCAAAGTCTTGCAGGTGGCAGTTTAGAGTCAAGAGGCGTGCGACATAGAACCACTTCTGCTTTCTACTATCTGCTGCAGTAACCTCTGGGTCATCTACAGCAGAGGCACTTGGTTGTACTGAGGGCTAGCGAGGCGTGTAATGTGGTCTGGGGCCTGCCCTATACCCTCCTCACCCAGGTACCACACAGAAAGGCCTGCTTCCCATAGCAGAGAACAGACTGCACTGTCCTGACCAGAAAGTGGCAATCCTCCTGCCTCAACAACAAAGGGGCGGGTAGAGGGAGCCACAGGAGTTTATAACAATTGGGCTGAGAGGCCGTCGTCTTTATTACCTACAAGATCCACCAGATAAAAGAACTAGTCCTGAGAAAAACAGGGAATAGGTGCTGAATTTATTCCTCCCCACAAGCTACAGCAACACACACATGCTATTGGGGTGCCCTTTCCAGTACCAACAGCGTCACCCTTCTGACACAACATGCTTCAACACGAGCTCACAGCGGATCCTGGAGGGCAATTTCAAGGAGAAAGATGAGGATGGGGGTGAGTTGTCATGTTCCCATGACAGCCTTTTTTGTGTTGCCATAGCAACATAGCTCTGCCTCTATCCTGTGTAGTCCTGGTTTCTGTGATGGGCAGAACTCTGTAGCGCTTCACAGTATGGGGGTAAGGAGACACTATAATCCCCAGGTAAACGAACTAGATGACCCAAGGCTCTCAGCTTAGGCTGAGGCATCTCATGGGCAGGAGGATAAGTTTTTTGGGGTTTCCTAATGACAAGCTCTATCTTTTTCTACCCAAATTTCTATTCCCACGCTATTGGGCTCCCAGGACTTGACTGAGTCTCGAAGGCGCAGCTGTGACGGGGGCTAAGAACCATTAGGCTCACTGTCACAGGCTTGTACTCCATGGGTCATTGTCTATCCAGGTCCTCAGCAGGCTACTGTGAAGACCAGAAGACACAGCCATGGTCCCACGCGAAGAGCTTCCCTGGGAGAGACGGATACTGGGGATATACCTTGCACCTCCATGCCCAGGGGCCAGGCAGCCCTCCAGAAGCCTGGTGGTTGGCTCAGGTGATAGTTAATCCTCTGCAAATAGGGCAGTGATTGGCAGTCTTCCAGATCATTCTGCCCAGCTGACTGATACAAGGCAATTGAAGGGAAGGAACCTAACGAGTCTGTGTCCGACTCTGCCGCCATTCAATGAGTGCAGCAAAACTTCCGTCAGGAAAGAAGGGAAGTCTCAGAACTAGAAGGGCCGCTTCAGAACATTTTAGAGAAACTTGATCTTGGGCTTGGGAGTGGTGGCACACCTTTAATCCCAGCACTGAGAGGGATCTCTGCAAGCCAGCCTGGTCTAGCTAGTGAGTTCCAGGCCAGCTAGGGCTACATAGTGAAACCATCTCAACACAAACAAACAAAAACTCAATTCTAATGGATATGTATTTTTAAAAAGATCAACATTTATCTTGCTGTCAAGTGGCATCCAAATGGTGACCTCTTTAGGTTTAAATTTTTCAGCAATTTATTTATTTTTATTTATTTATTTTTAAGATTTATTTATTATGTATACAATGTTTTGTCTGTGTGTATGCCTGCAGGCCAGAAAAGGGCACCAAACCTCATTACAGATGGTTGTGAGCCACCATGTAGTTGCTGGGATTTGAACTCAGGACCTTTGGAAGAGCAGGCAATGCTCTTAACCGTTGAGCCATCTCTCCAGGCCAGCAATTTATTTTTTAATGTAAAGATCTATTTTATTTAGTGTATGCATGCCTGTCTGTGTTTGTCTGTCTGTCTGTCTTACGGTATGTGCGTATGCGGGTAGATGCCCAAGAGGTAGGAAGAAGGCTTTGGATCCCTTGAAGCTGGAGTTGCAGGTGGCTGTGTTGCAGGTGCATTGGGAACCAAACACGAATCCTCTAGAAAAGCCACAAGTGCTCCTAACAGCCGAGTCATTTCTCCAGCCCCTTAGTTTTTTTTTTTTTATTATTTTATATTTTCAAAGCATTGAGCTGCAACAGAGTGGGAACCAGCAGGGACCTTCCTTAACCATTAGTTTCAAAAGCACCGACTTTGGCACTAGAGACATTTTGAAATCAACCAAGAGGCAACTGAGAGAGAAGAGAACCTGTTGTCCCATGTGCACTGCTGGCAGATGTCAGGGAGGAATCACACGCAGTGAGACAGCAGTATCGCTTTATTGCCCCAGTCCAGAAGCCTCCTGCCCCAGCCCTACATGCTGGCAGACTGGGCTCGCAATCCACCCGCCTCCCTGCGCTCAGCCCCGCGCTGCCGCCCGCGCCGCCCGCGCCGCCTGCCTCCTGCCGTAGCGCAGGCCGAAGGAGTTCCAGTTGTAGGCTGACAGGTCCTTCTCGCGCTGCACCAGCACCGCTCCGCGGGGTGTCGGAATCAGGCGACTGCGAGCGGTGCACGCGGGTCGCTGACGCCCCGCGGAGCTCTCAACCGGTGGGCATGGCGAGGTCCTACGGGCTCGCAGCCCTGTAACCCCAGATTTCCTTTCTGCGCACCGCGGGCCCTTTTCCCAGGCATCGATGAGTTCCTGGGATCCGGACTGCTGGCCTAGAACAGAGAACGCAGGCAAATGAGACTGGGGAGGCAAGGATTGCTCAGACCTCTCCGATGCTGGTCCCGGGTCCTCAACCTCAGAGCTTAGCTCTGACCTCAGCGTGGAGCCAAAGTGCTGCTTGGTTAGGGTGGTTAGGCTGCATGCTCCTCCCTCCTTCAATAGCTTTGCTTTCAAGTGCTTGCCAAAATTCTCCTAAATAACTTTATTAAACGACCTCCTTTGAGGAAGCAAAGACTCTGTTCTGTCTTCTGGGCTCTCTACCTGGCTCCTCAGTGAGTGTCTGCATCTGGAGTTTGAGTGGCCCATAAGCACCTGGGGCGCGGGGGAAGGAGGGGACTCCATTTATCTCTCAGAATGGGTGAAACAGTACCACGCACGTAGTAGGGCCCCAATAAGTGCTCATTAAATAAAAACTAACGAAAAACCTGGGTAACGGAAATCAAAAAGGTGGAGCCAAGGCCATTGTGACCACGCCCTCCTCACACCTGTGACCTGTGATCGCCTGACCCTGGTTGCTGAGGACAATTGCAAACTTTCATATACAGGATCAAGACCGAGTGTCGACCAGACATTACCCACGTGGCCCTAGCAGGCACAGCTCTCCTAGGCGGGTGCAATGCCTTCCCTTCCTGCTGGAGCTAACAGGGCTCACTCCGAAAACACTTCACAGGCAAAGCTCATTAATTCTCTCCTCTCCCCTCCCTCCCTCCTTCCCTCCCTCTCTATCTTTGGCAGTAAAACAGGGCAAGTAGCTCAGAGTACACAATAAGTCTAGTCAATTATAGCGAGTTAGTAGCAAGGAGGCCTGGTGTGAGTGGGTGTTGGGGCTGCGGATGGCACTGAGCTTGGCTCCTCAATACCCTGGCACACTTTGGAGACAAGCACAGCAGGAGACGACCACCAAGGGGCTGGGTTAAGAGGTTCCTGGAGGGGCTGGAGAGATGGCTCAGAGGTTAAGAGCATTGCCTGCTCTTCCAAAGGTCCTGAGTTCAATTCCCAGCAACCACATGGTGGCTCACAACCATCTGTAATGGGGTCTGGTGCCCTCTTCTGGCCAGCAGGCATATACACAGACAGAATATTGTATACATAATAAATAAATAAATATTTAAGAGGTTCCTGGACCTAGATGAGCCTCCTACACTCCCAGCAGGCTGGTCCTGGGCCAGCCCCAGGTATCCGTCAAGTGCAGTAATTTAACTCATGGCAGTAACCTGGCTACAGTATGGAAAATAGGGTAATTCTCATGTGCGATGACTCTCCTGCCCCCTCTCCTGGACCAGTCGTACCTGTGGGCCCAGGGTTTGCCAGAGGTGCCACCTTTGCCAGTGGCTCCCCAAAGGTAGTGATGCAGAGGAGAAGCAGTAGCTGCCAAGAAGCCAGCGCCGTCATTCTGGCAGGAAGAGGCAGGTGCACGATGTTCAGAGGCTGAGTGAGACAGAGAGGCAAAAAGTCTGGGTCAGAGTTAGTCCTGTACCAGAACCCAGGTCGAAGAGAGAAACTGGGGGAGAGGAGAAGCCCTGTGACCAGAGACGACCTGTGTGTGTGGGGGGGAATAAGCCTGAAATGAGACCACAGGGAACAGGACTGCAGGAGCGGGGAAGGAAGGACAAAAAGGAAGGGTCAGTCTGGTGGAAGGGGTAAGCTGATGACGCTGGACAATGGTGGGGTTGCGGGTCATAGGTTTGCTGGAGAGAGATGCTGAAGAAGGAGAATAAGGTGCTGTGCATGGGATTGATCAGGGAATGGAGGTAGATGAGATCATGTGGAGTGTGCCGTGCATGGGGGTGACCAGGGTGGGGAGGTGATCAGGGAGGGGAGGTAGATGAGGTCACGCAGGAGTGTGCCCATGAGGGTGACCAGGGAAGGGGAGGTAGATGAGGTCACTCAGGAGTGTGCCCATGGGGGTGACCAGGGAAGGGGAGGTAGATGAGGTCGGCAGGAGTGTGCTCTGAGGTTCAGCTATTCTCCTGGGATCCTAGGATCCAGCCCTCCTCCCCTTAGTGCTGGGTTCTGTGTAAATGTACAGCTTTTGGTGCTTGCTCCAAAGGGTACACACACCTTCCGCAATCTGGCCCTAGCCCTCCTGCTAGAACAGAAATCCAATTCCTTATCTCTTCCAGGAAAAAAAAAAAAAAAAAACAAAGAAGGAGGGCAATCATCTTACACATTCTCAAAGCTCTCCGCAGCCTTGGAGACCATCATCAAATTGCCTTATTGCCTGTAATTCAAGCGGGAAAAGCCTTTCTCTCACCTAGCCCATCAGATGCTTCTATTCTCAGGGCTCTGGGATGTTGTCAACTCAATTGGCCTCATCAGTTTGACTGCTGAGATAGGAGCTGTGTAGCCTGACCCTCATCCAGTCACTCTGCCTTCCACCTCTCCTGCTCCCTACTCCACCCCACTTCTCCAGCTCCCAAGGCCAATTTTTCTTTGAAAAACTCATCAGCACTTTGAAACTGTCCAACAAATGGCATTAAGGACAAAGTGTCCAGGAGGCTGGCGGCACCACAGGTTGAACGTAGGCTTCTGTCCAAGGACAGGGGTGGGGAGTATCACTGTGACCCATTTCCGGAGTAGTTTCTCAGCACCATGCATCCTGCCGCTGTGCTCCCGCCTCGGTCCCTCCACCCAGCCAACTGCAGACTCCCACATGGAGTGGTGGGTCAGAACCTTCACTCGGCATGGGCAACCATTAGGCACTGCACAGTCAATTGGTATGCTGTTCTCTGTGGAAGATCTCCTCTCCTGCTCCCAGCCTCCCACAGTTGCCTATAGCTCCTTTTAAAGTAAGGGAATATGGAAGCATCGTAACAACTCTAATCTTTACAAAGCAAAAAACGACTATGGAGTGAATGGCTATAAAGACACCATTTTCACATGTTTTAGGATTGTTTCTAAAAAATCCGTGGACTCAGTGTCTTTCAGTGATTCCACACTGCTCTTTAAAAAGTTTGGAACTGGTCACGTATCTAAGCGTCCATGGGCTAAGCAGAATCAGGTCCTCCACCATCTGACGTCAGCTTTCTCGTGATTGCAGTCATGGGCAGAGTGCGGCTCTTGCAGTACCCTGGTTTCTACTTCAGGGCCTTTGTATTATTAACCTCGTGTCTCCTTCTCTACCTGACATTGATTCTGTTTGCTTTTGTTTAACCAATGACAGTGATGGGTTCCATGAGTTTTACCCCAAATTAAAAAAATCCTGACTCCGAAATGCTCCAGCTTTTCCCTCATCCCATGAATCATGAGTAGGCCACGCCCATTGACTATTCACCTGGGCACCAGCTGCCTGCTCAGATAGCTACTGACTCCGTGACACCCTGAAAACCAGATGCGTTCTGCAGCTGCCTTAAGGCCTGAATAGAATGTGGGGTAGAGTCCAAATCTAGTAGGCAGAGCCTTGGTTATCAGGGCCAGTGTAAGGCATTGCTGGCCACTGTCTCCAGCCTAGGGCTGTGCTAGGTGCTGGGTGCTGAGGATGCTGGCCCAGGGTACCTCTGATCTAAAGTCTAGTGTAAGAAGTTGGCTCATAGGCAACTTAGACAAGTAGATAACTTCAAAATAACAACAGACACATGTTAAAGTCCAGATGATGACAGCTGGGACGCCAGCCTGGGGGGGGGGTCCAGGCTGCCGGTGGCACCTGAGCAAGCGTGTACCTGATGAAGCCCGATGAAGAGGACTTGCAGAAGCCACTCACCTCAGGGGATCTGCCTGGACTGGTGCCAGGGTGCTGGAATGGCACGCAGGGGTGGGTATGGGGGATATAGAGCTAGAGCTCTCTAGGGAGGGAGAGGCAACCCAGGTCTATCCCAGAGAGACCTGAGGAGGGAAGGGCTGTATTAACACGCCGCATGAGACTGGTGGAAGGCTGGTGATCCTGATGTCTGCCTCTCTGTCTGTCCCTGTAGTGCTCTGCCCCATCAGGGACAGTGCTTCTCATATGTACCATGCGAGAACTCTGCCTGCCCCCAACACACCCTCACCCCACATAGACACACACACCACACATAAAGCACACACAAACACACCATGTACGACATGGGCTGGTGAGATGGCTCAGCAGATCACTGTGCTTGCTGTCAAGCTTGACGATCTGAGTTTGATCCCTTGGGCCCACAGGATGAGAGGAGAAAACCAACTCCCACAAGCTGTTCTCTTGACTTCCATATGTGCGCTATGCTCACACACAGACACAGCAAAATAAATAAGTAAAAATATGTACAGCACACATACCCGGAATACATACCACATATCTCCCACACTCACCATACACGTCACACGCATGCACACATACGGACACCCCAGACCCTGGTAACTCTTAACTGCTTAGTCTACAGGCCACGTGTGCATGAAGTAGAACTTAACTGAAAATCAAAAAGAACACACATGCACACACACACACACACACTCCAGGATAATTTGGCCAGCCTGGCAGTCAGGAACAATCAGTGCTCCTTGCTTTTGGCTTGATGTTTCAGCTGGCCTTGGACTGAAGTCTGCTCTCCCAGATCTTCCCTAGGTCAGGGCAGTCCCAAGCGCTGTCAGCAGTGTACCTACCTTGGCTGGGTTCCGGCAGGAGGGCTGGAGGGAGGAGAGCCACTTGGGTAGTTGGAACACACCGAGAGAAGCCACTGGTTCCTGGGTTTACTCTCACTGGTCCCTGGTCGCAGCCCCTTTTATGAGGTCTAGGTGGGTGACGTCTCCAGGCGCAATCCCACCTCTGCCCTCCCAGGCCCTCCTCGGGACTCCACGCCCTGCCGCCAGCTTCCGCCTCCTGGCTGTCACGTCTGGATCCGGCGACTTCCTTGCCCCCAGAAACCATCCAAGGCTGCTCTCAGAATCTCAGTAATTCTTCCAGCCTCTCCATCCTCTTGACACCCCCTCCCTTGCAGCTGGAGACTCATTCTGCCCCAAACAATGAAGAGAAAATGACCGAGGAGAGTATATGTGAAATGTCTTATCCCTCTGCCCACACACACACACACACACACACACACACACACAAGTGAATAGGAGACAGAGGCTGGAGGAGGAGGGGAAGGGCACAGCCTGACCCAGAGGCTCCTCCATGCCCACATGCTGCCCTCTCAGAGAGAAACAGGGTCACACTGGCCTCCATCAGGCAGCTCCTGGGCTGTGAATTGAGAGTGGGGGTGGGGCTGGACGGGGGGTCTCCTCCCCTCCTTTCCCCTTGATTACCGAGCTCCTGCATGACGCAGGATTTGACATGCATGTGATATGACATGGTCAGACGTGCTGGACAGTTATATAAGCAGTTGGCTGTCAGGAAGGAAGGAGGCTAGAGCCGGTCATAGCAGCCCATACATGGAATTGTACCTCCTGATGGTCGAGACAGAAGGATGGTAAGTTTGAAGCCTGGCCAGGCTGGGTGACAGAGTGAGATATTGTCTCAAAAAGCAGTAGCCATAGTGGCACACCCCAGCACTTGGGAGACAAAGGCAGGTGAACCTATGCGTTTGCAAACAGCCTATTCTACATAGTGAGATCTTGTCTCGCCCCCAAATATAATAATGTTACAAAAGGAAGGAAGGGAGAGGGAACATCTATTTTATACTTGATGTGGCCAAGCTGGCCTTGAGAAAGTAAGTGTGGAGAGTGGGCAGCATGTGGTGCCTGGTGGGCGTGGCCAGCCTCACCGTCAGTATTCCTGGCACTCTGCCCCTGCCCTCCTGCTTTCTTTCCTTATGGATTCTGTTCTTTTTTTTTTTTAAATTTTATTTTAGACAGGGTCTCACTGTAGCCTTGGCTGTCCTTGAACTCACAGAGATCCCTTCGATTCTGCTTCCCAAATACAAGGATTAGAGTCTGTGCCTCCAAAACCTGGTCTGCACCTTTCTTCGGTGTACATGAAAGCCTTTTAAGAAGTATAGTGTGTCATATGTATAATCCCAGCACTCAGACACTTGAAGCAGGATGGTCGTGAGTTCCAGGCCAATCTACAACCTTGCCTCAGAAAAACAAAACAAAGAAAAACTCTTTACCGTGAGACAAGGAACTCGCCAGAACAAGAACCAGCTCCTCTGTGGGGCTTGGTTCTCTGAAGGCAATGGCGCCATCCACCCCCAAACAGAAGGCGGTTTTGGTGCCACCTCTACCTGCTATGTCCTATGTGGAGTGGTCATCTCATGGCTGAGATGCTCTTCCTGATGCTGCGTGGGCTTAGTTCCCATTGCTCGCCTAACATTAACTGAGGCTTAACATTATACCAGACCCTTCAGGATGTTAAATCAGCATGAAAATCACACCAGGGACAGGGTTTGACTCTTAGAGAATGCAATTACACCTTGTGGACTCGCTCGGGGTTGGAGGAGGTGCTGCAACCCGTCCTAGGCCTGGGGTGGATATTCTGAACTGGAGACGTCAACCCCGAATCTCAGACACGTTCACAGCTTGAGGATTTAATTCACTCCCTGCAGAAACTTAGGTTAGGGATGTTGCTTCCAGCCTCAGCTGGCTGTCAGGGACAGGATCTCGGCTCCTGGAAGCATCTTGGGAGAACTTGGGGGTTTAAGATCAGTCACTCAGCTCCATCTTTCTTCCGGACTTGGAGATGCCCACGTGTGATAGGAAGTAAGTCAGTGCTGGGGAGGGGATTCAGGAAGATAACCCCCGTCCCCCTTCCAGCCCCTCCGCCAACAATCCAAGCTCGAGAAGTGCACCTCGCCGGTTCAGACCATTGAGCTGGAGCCTTGAAGCTTCTGTGACAGCTGTGGGAGCCAAGAATCATTATCCCAGACAAAGAGTGGGAAGCAGACTCAATATCCAGGCTATTACCCAGCCGACCTTGAGATGCGGGGCTATGATGCAGTAGGCATGGAGAGTGGTGGAGGGGTGTGCCCAGCTGGCAGGCGCTCCAGCATGTGGGTTCTGGCCCCCTTCCTGGATGTCTCAGTGTGGAGCTATCAGGTACTTCAGAGGCGGGTGTGGGCCCAGAGCAGGCTCTGTTCCCTGCCTGACTAGATGTCACCAGCTGTCATACATCCCTGTGGCCCAGGCTTAATCAAGTGTCCCAGAAAACACATCTTGTCTGGGTCACCTAAGTTTTCATTTCTTTGGCTGGGGAGCTGTTAATGGCCGCCTCCTCTCCACCTACACCTTAGCCACTCCAGCCTCCAGGGCCCCACTTTTGATTTATTTTATCAAGTGGAGAAGGAGCAGGGAGGGGAGGAGAGTGAAACTGGGGTGCGTGGGTCTCAGAGAGTACGGGAGAGGGGTCTGAGGCACTTAGGATAGCACTTTAAGCAGTTCCAAGTGCTCTCCCACCCCAGACACCACTGCCAGGCCCAGGTTCCCTCTACTCACAGTGCTCAGGAAGGAGATGTTGGAAGCACTGCCCAGGAATCCAAAGGCCACAGGGAAAAAGCTCCTAGGAACAGAAGAGAGGACGGGGGTCAGTGGTGGCCCAGGAGGGGAGGAGGAGCATAGCAAGACTGACATCTCTTACTCAAAGGCTCAGACTTTGGCTCCTGGGAAAGCAGCCACTGGGCCCTGGGGACAGACCTGTCCTGGGCTCTGTTGAAAGCAGCAACAGAGTAAGTGACTGAGAATCGCAGGCTGAGCTCGGGTGTCCTGGAACTAGCTCTTGTAGACCAGGCTGGCCTTGAACTCACAGAGATCTGCCTGCCTCTGCCTCCCAAATGCTGGGATTAAAGGTGTGTGCCACCACCGCCCAGCAAAGCTCGGGTGTCTTATGGTCACATCGCAGCTCTGCCTCTTACTGACACTGTACACAGTGAACAAATTTTCACTTCTCTGAACCCAAGGCCAGTTTTCCAACATGCTTAGCAATACTGGTACCTACGTCATAGGGCCACACATAAAGCCAAGCTGAAAGGGCACAGATTTTTGTGACCTCCTCTCCTGATGATTATCCTGGCCCGATGTCCTCTCTTTGCTAGATGGGTAGGGAGCAAATGCACTGAGTGGCTGAGCCCCTGGCACGGATGAAGGCTGGAGCTTGTGTCCCTGGAGGCACAGCCTTGTGCCTCGGCATCCCCCTGCTGAAGCTACTTTTGCCTTTTCTAGGGCTTGGAGGCAGTCAGGTTGGGAAGTGAACCCCCAAGGTCCCGGGTGAGTGAGGAGATTAGAGATTTGAATTTTGTCGGGGTCCAAAGCCCCAACATAAACTACTTTTCCCTCTCTGGACTGGCCTTGGAGGCATGGGAATAATTGAGACACAGTTCACACAGCCATATTGGAAGGGAGTCTCAGGGTTCATTCATTCCTGAAGATCGCCCGCGTTTATTATCCAAACACCTTTTATCCCCCAAGATAAACTAAGGTAGAAGTTCATTAACATGGTCTTTCCAGGAATATCAGGACTACAGTCACGGGAGCAGCTCGGCATTCACACCTCTTCTCGGGCGATCTATACAATTACAAAAGAGAAGGAGCAGGACATCCTGAGCTTTTGTTAGGTAGCCACAGCCTGTCTAGAGGGTACGTGATTGCTTTGGTTTCCAACGATGGCCAGAGAACTTGGCTGTCGGACCATGTAGGAATAGGGGCCTACAGAACTGACCTGGCCACTTCTCCCTAAACCACAGTATACTAAGGCAGAGGGGGCTGGTACTCACTTGAAGAGGTTAACAAATCCATAGGCCTCCAGGAGCATGCCCAGCAGGGGCCAGCGCAGCAACACGATGGCTACACCCCCCAGGAAGAAGGTGGTCCCCTTGAGCTTGTGTCGTTGGAAGAAGAAGGAAAACGTCCTCCTCAGGCCGATGATGAGGGAGAGGCCAGTCAGGAACAGCAGCTGCAGGTCCAGGGAAGATGTGAGGACAGAGAAGTGGTGTGTGTGTGTGTGTGTGTGTGTGTGTGTGTGTGAGAGAGAGAGAGAGAGAGAGAGAGAGAGAGAGAGAGAGAGAGAGAGACCCAGCAGTGGGGCAGAATCCCAGAACTGGAAAGGTCTCTGGTTAGTAGGGCATAGAAATGCCCTGAGGCAGAGGGATGGACTTGAAGGCCTTTTATTCCCACCCAGTTCCTCAGCTCCAAGCTCTTCCTCATAAAGAGGCTGCTGTGGAATGGAATCCTCCCCGTTTAACAGAGGAGAAGTTGGTACCCAAAGTCTCTGAAGGGTCCCCACTCTGTGGTTCTGCCAGAACCTTCAGCATGGTTTCCAGTGCTCCGTTCATGAGGGCCCAGGCTCCCATAGAATACAGTTTTTTTCTAGAATGTTCCCTGCCCACCCACACATCCGCCATGCCTTTTCTTTCAGTGTTCCAACCACTCATGAGAGCTTTAGTCTCCATTTCCTTCCCAGCTATCTTTTGTCTACTCCTTTCTCTCAGCCCCTGTTTCATAACAAAGTTTTTATCTTACTCTGGCTTTTCCCCACTGCTCCTGCTGCCCTGGAGGTTTCCTTAGAGTCAGGGATTCATTGGTGGGCAGGGGGTCTAATTCATCACAGGAGAGCTTGGTGTAATCGTCTCAGGTTCTCCGTGCCCACAGACCCTACTGTCGCTCTCCCTACTCCCCCCCCCAAGTCCTCACCCACCTTAAATAGCTATGACCTGAACGAACTTGGGACGACTCTCCTGGCCACCCAGCAAAGGCACCTAGTATTGGGGGACTCACATTTCCGAAAGCCAGGAGTACGGAGTCAAAGTACAGGAGTATCCCGAAGAGGATGAAGAAGACACCGAAGCCGGTGACGCCCACACCAATCTCTGCAGGAAGCAAGAAGAGCTCTCAGGGGAAGGCTGGCCAGGGGGAGGAAGCTGAGCAGGAGCTGCTGTGTTCCTGGGAAGCTTTTTGTCAATGCTGCTTCTTCCTGACCACATAGCACACTGTCTTCAGTATTGAGCTTCCGCTGAACGCAATAACCTGCCTATTCTTTCCTTCAGGTAGAGCTCAGGGACCATACCCAGTGAGGAGAGAGAAGGCTGGAGGCTCAAGACCCTGAGCTCCAGGCCCTGGATGGCTTCTGGATCCCTCTGTGCCTTCTCCTCCTTCCTCGGCCCTCAGTGCTGACCTGCCACAGGTGACTGGGAAAATAGAAGCCATCAGTTAGGAATACGCTCACCCATCCTGCAGCAATGGTCTGCACCCTCCTGCAGCAGTGACCTGCCCACCCCCAGCCTCCTCTAATTTCAAATCAGTATTAGCTCACAGGGTTGTCCCCACCCATTAGCAATGTCCTGTGGGCATCACCAAAGACCACAGGGGTTAACAAAACCAATGAGCAGGAGGCAGAAGTGTGGGACAGTCTGGACACCTTGCTTGGTCAAGGGCTCTACTCTGGGCATGTGATGTGTGCTTCTGAACACTCCCTCCAGAAATAACAGACAGGACACCTGGGTTCTTTGCTCCTTCTCATCTCATATGGAAGTGTGGATTTGACTCTCTGCCCTGTGATAGGCACCAAATGACCATTCATTATGCTGACTTTTTCTTTTTTAAACTACATTAACCATTGGACTGGAGAATTGGCTCAGCAGTTAAGAGAACTGGCTGCTCTTTCAGAGGGCCTGGTTCAGTTCCCAGCACCTATATGGCAGCTCACAACTGTCTGCAACTCCAGTTTCAGGGTACCCGACACCCTCACAGAGACAGGCAGACAGGCAGAATACCAAGGAACATAAAATAAAAGTAAAAAAATTAAACATAAAAATTTACTTCTGTTTGAAGTACACACACACACACACACACACACACACACACACATGTAAGACTTTAAGACAATCCTGAAGCCATTTTTGACAATTCTGAATCCTCTCAGCCTCTGTGCCATAGTTCTTCCTCTCCTCCCCTGGGAACCAAGGATCTAACAGCTACGCTCGCACGTACTCAGTTCCTGAACAATTACCCATATATGTATGTTTTGGTTCGGTCCCCTGGGAAACGGGGTCAAAATGACCTCTTACCTCACTGATCTGGCAGCAGCTCTCCAGTCAATTATTGGTAATAGCCCTTTCAAATAAGCCAATCAGAATAGTCAAAGAACAACCCCTCTTGCTTCTGTGGCCCCTTTAAAAGTAGACTGTACCAGCTATTCGAAGTCCCTCGGCTTCCTGAATGCTGAGGGACCCTGTCATGACAGAATTAATAAAATCCTCATGCTTTTGCATCGGCTGTGGTGTGTGAGATGGTCTCTGGGGCTGACTCCTCCTCGGTGTTTGGACGCTAGAGTCCAACAACAACAACAACAACAACAACACACACACACATTTGAAATCCTGTTTTCAAAGCTGAGTATGTTAATACAGGTCTGTAACATCCCGGCACTTGGGAGGTGGAGGCAGGAGGATCATGAGTCCATGTTGTCCTTGTCTGTTTGAGATCACTGTGGGCTACAGAGCATCTTTCTCAGCAAATAAATAAATAAATAAATCCTACTTTCAGATCTTTTGGTTTCTACCCAGAAGTGGGATTTCTGGGTCACATGATAACTTTTCTCTCTGGTATTTGAGAAGATTATTCCTAGTTTTATTTTTATTTATGTGTATGTCTGTGTGTCTGTGTGTTGTATGTTTGCATGTCATGTGTGTGGAAACCTGCAGAGACCAGGTACCCTGGAACTGAAGTTCCAGGCAGTTTTGAGCCTCCTGGCCTAGAGGCTGGGACATGGGTTTTCTGGAAGAGCAATGAGCACTCTGGACAGCTGAGCCATCCCTCCAACCCCAATTTTAATGCTTCTGGTAGCAGCCATGCTGACAGTGTGGTACCACATTGTGGGTTTTTGCTTTGTTTTTTGATGTGGGATCTCAGGTTTGTGACAAGTCCTCATGATGCGTCTGAACATATTTTCTCCTTCCATGCCCAATGGTACTGGCCTGAATTAAACTTCACCGTTGGGGCTTTAGAACGGTTGTGCTCTTATTCCACATTGTATGATGTTTCTACTGTAGGAGACAAGGTACCCACTCTCCCTCCACACTGTACAATGTTTCTCCCCTAGGAGACAAGGTACCCACTCTCCACACCAGAAGATGTTTCTCCCCTAGGAGACAAGGCACCCACCCTCCACACCATAAGACATTTCTACCCTAGGAGACAAGGCACCCACCCTCCACACTGTACGAAGTTTGGCCCCTAGGTGATAAGGTGCCCACCTACTACAACCACGCAGACTGAGCATGGTGGAAGACTACACCACATTTCTTTAGTGGGAATGATAAAGATGTTTGGTATTTGTTTGCAGTAGTGAGAGTTGAATACAGGGTTGTACTCCATGTGCTAGACAAACATTCTATACTAGGGCTACATCCAACCCGCCTCCCAGACATAGTCATGGTCTGTAGCCTAGACCTGCCTGTTTGTTACAAAATCATATATACCATGTTATAAAAATACGGTATCAGCTGGGTGTGGTGGCACATGCCTTTAATCCCAGCTTTTAGGAGGCAGAGGCAGGCACATCTCTGTGAATTATAGGGGGGGGGGCCTATAGAGTGAGTTCAAGGACAGCCAGGGCTACACAGAGAGACTCTGCCTGAAAACAGCAGCAATAACAACAACAGAAATCTGTTATCTCCTTACACTGGTCTGTGACTGTCCTATGACTCCACTCTCATAGGACGCCCTTCCTCCTACATGGAGACATGATGTGAGTGGGGTTTTGCTCTTTGTTTTGTTCTGTTAAAACACCTGTTTTCCTGTCCTGTGCACCCTTAAGAATGAACTCGGGTTTGTTTGTCTATTTGTTTTGCAAAGAACGGAAGTTTCTCAGGTTTGCTTTGTATGTCTTTCCGAGGAGGACAGCAGAGCCTGGCTCTCCAGTCCACACACTCCCGACCGTGAGTCACTGCTGCTTGCTTCATAGAGAAACAGGAACTTGAGTCAGGAGGCCAGGAGAGGCTTTTAGACACAGAGCCATCCTCATGAAAGTGGAGGCCAGGAGTGGCGGGATTGATTAGGCTAACCAGCCACTGCTGTAACCCCCGCCCCGCCCACTAAGTGTGTCCAATGTGTGCTGATGTCATCAGAGGTACCCAGGACCATTCTAGGGCCCTGTCAAGATTCTGAGAACCAGTATGAGGAAACTCCCTGTGGCGAGCATCCTGAGGTGTGAAAGACTGTGACCCACAGACACAGCCAGGTGAGAATTCATGCCCTGCTCAGGGGTGTGTGTCTGCACCCCCGAACTCAGGAGGCGAGTTCAAGATCAGCTTGAGCTGACACCAAACAAAATGTCCGATGTGGTGGTGCGTGCTGCAATCCCAGCCTCAGGAAGCAAAATGTCCGATGTGGTGATGCGTGCTGCAATCCCAGCCTTAGGAAGCAAAATGTCCGATGTCGTGATGCGTGCTGCAGTCCCAGCCTTAGGAAGCAAAATGTCCGATGTGGTGGTGCGTGCTGCAATCCCAGCCTCAGGAAGCAAAATGTCCGATGTGGTGATGCGTGCTGCAATCCCAGCCTCAGGAAGCAAAATGTCCGATGTGGTGGTGCGTGCTGCAATCCCAGCCTTAGGAAGTAAAGGCGGGAGAGTTGCTTCAGGTCTGAGACCAGTCTGAGCAGAAATTCTGTCTCAAAAAACCTAAACCAACCAACCAACCAAGAGAGTCCCCCTGCCTCAGCCTCCCCAGTGCTGGGATTACAGGTGTCTTCCACTGAGTGCAGCTTTTTTTTTTTTTTTTTGTTAGACATGTTTTCTAACAGTGGTTTGAGCCATGCTCACTTTCTGGTTTGTCCTGTGCCCTTTTTTCACAGGTTGATGTGATTCCAGAACTTTTCTCTGCTGAGATCAGCCTTTTTTTATAGGCCGCATTTAGTTGTTTCTGGCAGTCAGCATCACACACAAGCTCACAGACAAGTTAGGAGATGTGTTTCTCATACACAGCTTCAAAACGTCTTCCGTCCTTTGCTTCTCCTGTAGTTCAGTGACTCAGTCAAATCTGGGGAGGGGGGCTTGCACCCGAAGTTCCTTTCAGGACAGCAGCCTGGCAGAGGAACCGGTGGATTTGGGTAGGCGTGTCACACAGATAGGAACGGCAGACTTGCTGGTAGGTGATATCCCGTGATCCAGACAGAGGTCGCTGTGCGCCCCCTGCTGCACAAGTCACAATGCAGAAAGCAGGGAATAAGGCAAACTCTTGAGGCAGGCCTGGCTCCAGGGCACCTCCAGGGCTCCAGAGACCTCCCTGGCTTCAGACCGGCCAGTTTGGAGTCTCCCTATGTTGAGCGTTAGGTCCTGCAGTTCCCAAACTGCCAGAAGGAGCCCCTAGCCTGCAGCCCTTGGGGACAGGCCAAAGCCCGGTGGCCAGGGCACGGTTTTTCAGAATCTGGCAAAGCCAGATTCAATCTCTCTCTCTCTCTCTCTCTCTCTCTCTCTCTCTCTCTCTCTCTCTCTCTCCTCTCCTTCTCTCTCCCCCTTCCTTCCTTCCTTCCTTCCTTCCTTCCTNTCTCTCTCTCTCTCTCTCTCTCTCTCTCTCTCTCTCTCTCTCTCTCTCTCTCTCTCTCTCTCTCTCTCTCTCTCTCTTTTTGCTGCAGGGCATTGTCGCCTGGAGCAGGTGGGTAGGTCTCTTTGGCTGAAGCTTGTGGAAGAAGTAAAACAATATTCATTGTTTCTCAAATTCCTTATCCTTCAGTTCATGTGATCTTCCTACCTCCGCCTTGGGAGCAGCTAAGGCTACAAGAGGGAGACAGCTTGTGGTCTTTTTCTCTTTTACAATCACAAAGGTGCCAACATTTCTAACTCCTCTGCTAGGACTCTTGTCCTCACACCACTCTGAACCTTGTGGAACGTCCTTCCCTTACCCTTCAGATAGACAAGATACAGATGTCAAAGCAGGAAATGAACACATATATTTCTATTCTCCAGCCCTCGAACTCCACCCAAACTTTACCTATGTGTGCCCACAACAACATTCATGGGAAGAGACTTAAGCTCGTCAACACGTGGCATCGTTAGCGCGCCTGTCTGGAATACTTCTACAGTTGAACTCAACATGATCTTGGTCTTTGAAAGACTCAGAACAATAGTTTTGTAGCTGGTCCCTTCATAGGGCGTGTCTAAGTCCACTGGACTGGCAGAGCTATCTGCCAGATGATATCAGGTACACTTACAGTAGCCTGGAGGCGAGCCTGCTTCTGGCCCGATACCACTTTACTCTTTACTTTGTAGGCGACACACTGGACCCTCCTGTATGAGGACCCTGCCTCTACCCACGGGAGCACCCTCGTCACCCCCATTTTGGCTCCCCACTCTGCCCCACAGGCTGGGGCTCTGACAGCCCACTCTAAGTGCCCCTTCACGGTCCGTCAAATGTTTGAGAGGAAGAAGGAGAGTTGAAAATAGTGATGGACAGCTGATGCTCATGCCACAGTGGGCACCGGTCACATCTTAACTTGACATAACCACCCGTGAAGGGGCTGTGGTTAACTCCACTTCACAGAACTGAATCCTGAGGATTCACAGGAATACTGCCCGCCCAGGCCTGGATATAGCTGAGGCTTTGAAAAGTGACATAAACCACTTCTGCATAAAGAGTTCTTGCTTTGGCCATTAATAACCTTCAGGTAACCAAATCTCCAAGCAGGTGTCAGTCCTCGGCAGCGAGAGGCAGGCCACTCCTTGGTGGAAAGCGCCTCTCCTGGCTTCCAGGATACGTTCTGATTTTCTCCCAGCTGCCTACCTGTCCCCCACTCCAGGGCTCCCCCACCCCCTGTGCCAGCACCTACTTTCTTTCTTTTATGATTTAACTCCCTCAGGGTTTGGGCCCAGCTCCGGTCTCTCCTCACTCTGTTTCCACGCGCCTGCCCGGGTTTTTTCAAATGCCGCGTATGTGCCAACAATGCCTACATTTATCTCTCCTGCCCAGCACTCAGCAGATCCCGCTGCTGGCTTGGCTGCTGGCTCGGTTTCCTCGCTGGCACTCAGCATGCCTCTGGTCCCAAGCTGTGATCAGCCTCCCTTTCTTTATCCTCACCTCCTGTGAAAAGCGGCTCCACTGGCACCGGCTGCCAAGCCACTTGAGGCGCCTGCCACCCTCCCTGTCTAATCCACTTTTAAGTCTCAGGCGGCTGCTTCCGGAAACATCCGAAAACTGCCGTGCTTCTCCCTCATTATGTCCACCCCTAGCCACCTCTTCTCTCTCCTGGACACCCCACCCCTGCACGGCCTCCCTTCGTCTCCTGCTTCCTGCTTGCCACCATTCCCATCCCCCGTGCTCCTTCACCCAGTGCTCAAGGATTGAAAACATACCAGCTGATCATAGAGCACCCTGGTCATTCCACCCACTTGGAATGAAGCGGGGACCCTTTCCTATACGTGCTTTACAGATCCTATTGGGGGGAGGGGCCAAGCTTCTCCTTCTACCTTCTCTCAAACCCACACACTCCTCTTACACCATCGCCTTTGACTTCCGAAGATGCCCACAGTTTCCTGCCCCAGGACCTTTGTAGATGAGGCTTCTTTGTGTGGCACACTCCTCACGCTTCTAAATGCCAGCTCCTCCGGGAAACCGGTCCTGGCCTTTGTGCTCTGACATCAATCCTGTTCTGTCATTTCTCCCTCTCACAGGACAAAGTATCATTCTTAGGACTTGTCACAGCCGGATACGAGCATACTGTCACACTGGAAGGCTGATAGCACGTCAGCATGCCTCCCGTCTCAGGACTCCGGGACTCCTCATCCTTTCTCCCCCTTTTGATTCACTGGGTTGCAAGATGGGAATGCTGGGGGAGTGGTTTGGATGAGCTTTGGTGTGATATGGAGACAGTTTGATTGTCACAAGGGAGTGGAGGTTTGGCTACTGTCACCTGGTGGGTGGCCAGAGGTACGGCTAAAAATTCCTTAGTGCCCAGGGCAATTCCCACAACCGTATCGGCTGCATCAGAAGGCTAGGGAGTGGGGAGGCTGAGAGGCTGTGCCCCAGGGATCTGGGGACTCCTATGGCTTTAAGCAGCGACTATATACATGTTGTTGATTTCTCTGTCTGGACAAGTCTCTCTCTTGAAGTCCAGGCCCGTGCCATCTCCACCCTGCCTGCAGTCTAATCTGGATATCCAAGACAAACATACCCAGTCTATTCAAATCTGGCTCCTGTTTCCCACTTACGGATCCACTTTCCAGTCCGCTCCCCAGGTACCGGGGAGGTATCCTTGACTGTTCATCCCTTCACGTCTCACATTCCATCTTCAAGCAAATTCCTCCAGTCACACAGGACCACCTCCCATGTCTGCACTGCCACACCCCGCCTCCTGCCTTCTCTCACCTCAGAAAGGCCTCTTCTCTGCTATCCTACCCTCTACAGTCTAGTCTCGAGAATTCCAGCAGCCAGAGCGAGCTTCTAAAACGCCGAGAGGCTACACCTCTCTCAAAGAGCTCACTACAAACCTTCCCATCTCTATGTTGGTCCACCTTGGGCTGCCTTTCGGGGACTTCCCTTACCCAAGCTCTTGACCTTCCACCTGTGAAGTCTCAGTCACACCAGCCTCTGTGAGGGACCTCACACACCACAGACTTTATGCCTCAGGACCTTTGTGCTGGCTGCACCCTCTTCCTGGAACAGATGGCTGCACAGACTACCTTCTCACTTCCTGTAGTCCTCCGAGTTAGGGCCTTTTCCAGCAAAGCCTTCCCTGGTCAGTGGAAATGAATCCCCCAACACACACACACACACACACACACACACAACACATACACTCTTCAGACTCCATGATTCCTTGACTCTGTTTTGCTTTAGGATGGAAGGGGGTTCTTATTACCATCTGACCTACTTACTACACAGTCACTTCTTCAGGAGCTAATGGCCGGCCTTCCCTTGCTAGCAGGTAAACTGGAGTCCCGCTTGCCTTACTCTTAGTAGTTTATTCTGTATTGGCACAGTACTTGGCGTACATTAGACAGTTACCATAGGGTCACTGCAGAGCGAGTCGGCTCAGAGGCTAAGCAACTCACCCAGTGACACCTACATCTCTGCCCTCCCTGTGGCTGAGCCACTCTTCCCAGGCAGTGGGCTGCTGCCTCCCTGCTCCCCTAAAGAAGTGGGGATGCATGAAGTGAGACTATAGACTAGGGCCACAGGAGACCTTGAGGGTTTGAGGAGATGTCTGATTGGGCAGAAGCACCCTCGTTTTCAGAACGAGGTGGGTGATGGGGGCTCAGCCTGCCGTGTGAACTTGGCCTCTAATGGCCTGAGTTCCTGGCTGGCCCCACCCTCTACAAGGCAGGGGTCACACTCGCCCTGACCCTGTTGCTTCGAAGATGCCAACAGAGCAGCTTCCAACTGCTGGTTCCAAAGGTCACACTTCCAGGTCGCAGAGGAAGAGCTGGGTTGGGAAGAGCACGTGCGCACTCACCCTAGCAGGGACCCCTCTACAGTCCCACAAGCCTCCCCTCCCGCCCCGCCCCGCCTCTCCCCTCCCCTCCACTCACTTTGCCAGTTGGTGATGGAGATCATGTTTCAGTCCACTGGGGGCCTTCCTGATCAGCTGGCTAGGAGTGAGCCCGGAGGACCGATCCAGGGCATGTTCCTGGGAAGCTGACCCTTGGCAACAGTGAGGGAATCTCTGGTAAATCATTAACTTCCATCATTCCACGTTCCCCACACACAAATGGCTGCTTAAAGATACAGGCCTATCTGGAAACCACCATTCACAAGGCCCTTTCTGGCCCACCTCCTCCGAACAACTAGGTCTGGATATGGATAGTAAGGCAAGGGTCTGGGCACACCTGGGTTTTCTCACCTGTTTTGGTAGAGAGTATGGGAAGAGTTGGGATGGTGCCCCACCCTTTACCCTTTTGCTTTTTTTAGATGGGGGTCTCTACATGGTAGTCTGGATCTCACTAGGTAGACCAGGCTGGCCCTGAATTCACGAAGATCTGCTTGCCTCTGCCTCTCCAGTGCTGAGATTAAGGTCACGTGTCAAGTGTCGCCACATCCAGCCTGGCTCATCTCTTTGAAAATGTGCTGATCATTGTTTCTTTTTTTGTTTTGTTTTGTTTTGTTTTTGATTTTGGTTTTGTGCTATGAGAAATGCTATGTGCCCAGACTCATCTGATTAAAACCTGTAGCAGACCTCAGGAGAGTCAGGTTCATATAAACCAAGGGTGTAGGCACCACACGGAGTTGGGCAGCAAGACTCCAACTTTCTTTCCCCAGCGAAGTCCTGATGGGATGGTGAGGTCAAGCTGGTGGAGACCTGGTCTTAGGGGAAGACTGAGCAGTTAGGAAACCTCTGCAGTTCACTCAGCAGTTGGGTATACGAGGGCACATCCTTCTTGCTCTGTGAGCCTGAGGAAGAGGTAGATGGGGGCCTCAAGGGCTAGGTCAGCAGTTAGGAACACTTGCTGCTCCTGAAGGGACCCAAGTTTGGCTCACAGCTTTACATAGTGGCTTATAGCCGCCTGTCGTCCCTGTTCCGGGGGACCCAAGTCTTGATCTTGGTCTCAGCAGGCACCAGGCATGCATGCGGTACACACGCATAAATACAGGCAAATGCTTATACACATCAAATACATTTTAAAACAAGAGAATAAGCAGATGGTTTCTGATGACCTTCCCCCATTTTGGAGGGAACCGTGATCAGTTCCCCTTTATAATGTGTCCCTGACCCCAACATGAAGCTCCCAGATGACATGATTGACATCCAAATACCAGCTGAAAACTCAAAGCCGCGCCAGAAAGCAACACAGAATCATTCTGAGATGTGGTGTCTCTCAAGATACAAAAGCTCAGACAAGGCCTCCCAGGAGATACGCATGGGGCTGGAGAGATGGTTCAGTGGTTAAGAACACTTCCTTCCCTTCCGGAGGACCTGGGTTCAGTTCCCAGCGCCACGTCAGGGTGCTCACAACCTCCTGTAATTCCATGTGACATAGACAGACAGGCACGCACTAAATAAATAAATAAAATTTCAAAAAATAAAGAGGACGCACACAAAACAGACAGGTAATTGAATTATGCATAGCAAGTGTCTCAATGTAAAAGAAATAAAAACAGGGGTCAGACTGTGTGTGGTGGCACCGCCTTTAATTCCACCACTCAGGAGGCAGATACAGGCTGATCTCTTTGGATTGGAGTCTAGCCTGGTCCATATAGTGAGTGACAGACCAGTCAAGGCTACTTAGTGAGACCTTGTCAAATACAAAAACAAATAACAAATAACCTTGAGTCATTTCATACAGAAAGGAAACCCCACATGTCCATAAGCAAACAAGCAAAGCATAGTAGCACCCGTTTGTAATCTCATCCCTCAGGAGGCTGAGGCAGGGGGAGCTCAAACTTGAGGTCAGCCTGGGCTATCCAGTGAGGTTAGGGCTAGCCTGTACTACCTAGTAAGATCCTTTGTTCTTCTCCACCCCCCTTAAATACTAGGAGTGAGCAGTAGATTGGACTCTGATACTAGCAGCCACGCAGACCTGTCTGCCCCACTGCTCTGTAGGCTGAGGCAAGAGGATCACTCGCACAAGGCCTCCCAGGATTAGAGTTCAAGGTCAGCCTTAACAATTTACTGAGACCAAGTCTCAAAATAAAATACTTGAAAAGAATCCTTCTCTAGGTCTAGCCTGGGAGGTGTAGTCCTCACTTTGCATCCAGGAAACTTTCTTTTTGTAACAGATGGTGACCATGACAGCAAGCCACAACCAATCAAATGCAGAGCTGTGGTGTCAGTTCCAATGGATACATCTACAAAACAACCCCCAAACCTTTAGGCTCGGAGAACAAAGATCAGGGAGTTGGTTGTGAGATCGTGTCTCCTAGGAATGTCAGAAGCTACACCCATAAAATCTCACCAACATCACTGCCAGAAAATGAGCTGAACAAGGAGGACACCAATAGACATGCTAACATGGATGGAGGGGGAGGCCCAGAAGATCTTGATCCTATACAAAGAACAATAGGCATCTAAGAAGTGCTGAGAATGGTCCTCCCAGGGAGGAGCACTCCAACTGACTGCAGTACCAAATGGTAGGCTCTGAAATATACAAGTAATGTTAGATAGACTGAGAAGGTTGTACTTACTGTTTAGGAATATATGTATATGTGTATATGTATGTGTGTGTGTGTGTGTGAAACAACAACTCTTGAAAACAGAGATCATGAATTTGAAAAAGAGCAAGGAGGGGATTATGGGAGGGTTTGGAGGGAGGAAAGGGAAGGGGTGGGGATAATGTAATTATAATCTATATTTTTTTTTAGATTTATTTAATTTATAAGTGTTCTGCCTGCGTGTATGCCTGCAGGTCAGAAGAGGCACCAGATCTCGTTACAGATGGCTGTGAGCCACCATGTGGTTGCTGGGAATTGAACTCAGGACGGACCTCTGGATGAGCAGTAAGTCCTCTTAACCACTGAGCCATCTCTCCAGTCCCTCTATAATTTTTTTTAAAAGGCTGGATCTGGGAGCGATGGATGACTCAGCAGTTAAGAACAGTGGCTGCTCTTCTGGAGGACTTAGGTTCAGTTCCCAGCATGCACATGGCGGCTCACAACTGTCTGTAACTCCAGTTCTAGGACGTCCAATACTTTTTCAGGCTTCTGTGCACTGCATACATGGTGCGCAGATATACATACATACAAAATTCTCACGCACATAAAATAATAACATTTAAAAAATTAATTATAAGTGGCTGGATCTATTAATTACACATTGGTAGAATGTTTACCCAACATGCCTGGGGCTTTAGATTCAATTCCCCAGTGCTGCAAACAAAGAAAAGCCCCAGGTAATTGTATGTAACAAGAGAAACAGGGAAGTGACCTTGGCTGAAGGGGGATGGAGAAGAGGGGTGGATTAGAAAGGAAGTAGACTGAAGAATCATGTGGCTCTGCAGGGGACATGGGTGGTGTGTTGTTGAAATA